TACCCTATAAAGAACTTTGTCATGGGAATTTCAGTCGTCTCAGTGAGGGACCTGATAACAAGTACACTTCTCATCGCCATGAGCACTGGAATCAGATCAGAAATTGGCGACGCCGTTGCGATGTTCCCCGCTGGCGAAGCAACATTCCGAATCTGTCTGCCAGCGAAATATCGCAGCTGCTTCTTGATCGCGATGAATGGTTGGCCCTTCGTGGCACCATATCGCTTGACAGCTTGGTCGCATACATGCTCAAGGTCCGTCAGTGAGATATTCGCTCCAAGCTCCAAATAATTGTCGTGGAATCGGTACTGCTTCAGCTCAGCGATGTCTCCAACATACACCGAATCTTCATATAGCAATGCCTTGAATTTCACCTCGATTTGCGTCTCGGAGCTACCTCCGATGATTTTAGCAGAGGGTCGGACATATTTTAATTGGAGCAGCTGGTGTAAGGTCACCGGTCTGTACCACCTTTTTCGCTTGTTTCCGAATGCGAGTGGTTTGTATTCATGTTTGTGGAGGGCAGGTGGGAAGATCAGCTCTGCCGTCGGGTCGTACTTGATGAAATCTGGAGCTTTGAATCTTTTCACCGGCTCACCATTTTCCAGACTTCCGTTGGAAAACTTATCACGACAGCACCCACCACTGGCTTTTCTCTCCATGCAGCAACCTGAACCACCAATTTTCGACGCCTTGCTACAGGAGAAGCTCTGAGCTGCATCGAGGATAGGACGATATCCAGTACAGCGGCATAAATTCCCATCAAATGCTTCCTCGATCATATGCTCAGATGGTGTGGGGTCATTACGTAGGAGGGCATATAGACTCATCACGATTCCGGGAGTGCAGAAACCACACTGGCTTCCATTTCCAACGGCAATGCGTTGCTGTACAGGATGTGGTTTTTGCGCATTTCCTATGCCCTCAACAGTGATGAGATGTTTTCCGTCAACACTGACGAGCGGCGCAAGACAAGCGTTCACCGATGCATGGTATATCTCCTTCGCTGTCAAGTCCAATTGCGATATGACCTTGTAATTGTGGTCAGCCTTGTTTGCTTTTTCGGAGGACGAATCAATTAAAACCATATATATATTCCAGGCATACAACTGTACATGCACCACAACCCCCCTCTGCACAGCCAAGCTTTGTCCCAGTGAGACCAATGCCCCTCAAATATTCTAGAATGGTGATCTCTGGGTCGACCCCTTCCAGTACGACTCGGGTCCCATTAAGGTAGAACCTTATAGTATCATCCCACGACTCGGTCAAAGCAGTCAACGACTCGGCCCTTGCCGTGAGTGTTGTCGAAACGGTCTCGGTGATGAAAGTCATTCAGACGCTTTTAAATTAATTTTGCTTTGTCGGTGCAAACCAAGTGAACTTGTTGGAGCCCTAAAGTCGCCTCAATACCTAGCTGGGCTGAAAAAATCGTCAAGAGAAAAGATTAAGCTCCGAGAAGAAGTAGCACAGAGAACAACTCTATAAACGGCGAGTGTCACGTCTCAATGAAATGACCACTTTAGGGGCAATCTTCCGAGCAGCTGGGTATAAATGCAGTTGTCCAGCAGATCACATTGGCTTGCTTAGATACGGCAACGACCGTGAATCAGGTTGATACGGTTCAACCTCACGCTCTTTGCATTTCTAATTCACCATTGAGAGCGCCGTCTGCAAGTATCTAGTGAGACATCAGTATGATTACTCCATCAACCGAATTGGTTGGCATACGAAGAACCTCCTAATACTCGACGAACCAGTCAACGATGATAAGGGTGTGGACGGGACGGCAGTTGCAGCTGCAGCTGCAAGACCCTTACCCTTCCCCTTCCTTTCCTTTCCTTTCCTCGATGGAGACAGCTTCGGCAAGATGTGGCGTGCGGAGTTCGCCCGACTCCGATACCTGGTAGGATTTCGGTCTCGTTCCGTTCCTACCAGTGGTGATTTCCTTGGGATTGATACCAATGAGATAAATATCTTGGTTGGTACTGAATTGACAGCTCAGTTCCCGATTCCCAAGCGTGATGTTCAGTGGGATGGCATGTCCTGAATAGTACGATGTTCTTCAAGTCTGTTGAAGAGATGATGTTGTCATAGCGGGAAAAAAAATAAAAAAATGAGGACCCGTGGCCCAATTGGCAAGGCGCTTGACTACGATTTTCTCTGCCTCTTTGCAATCAAGAGATTCTGGGTTCGAATCCCAGCGGGTTCATCCATGTCCAAATATATTATTCTTGGTAGACGTTTTTTGACCCTTCTCGGTTCTTTCTTTCCCGCTGGTTTTATCAACTCTCAAGCTTTTGTATTGATTGGTTTGGACCCTTTGGACCCATGCTTCCTTTCTGGGGAGTGTGTAAGCCTCTGGGCCATCCCTGCCAGACATATCCTCTCCCATGGTTCTGAGAGCTAAACAGCCGGCGCAGAGTGTGATTCTCCTTCAGCATATTCGCCTCTGATTCTGAATATATTTCCAACAGTCTGCGGGCGCAAGTAGGAAGGAGGACATTTCTGTCAATTTTTCTTCCCGTTAGTATGTATGAAGAGAAAGTGGTGCTGTACGCTTCTCTGTGTATAGTGGAAACATGGCATGCTGTACAATATCTTTGCTTAATTCACAACAAGAACGTGAGGATATCCGATCACAAGATCAAAAGAAAAAAAAAAGAATATAGTCTTAAGAACCGGCGAATCCCTTCTCTTCTTCTTCCCACTTCTCACGTTCAACAATGCTGCGCATGCTTGTGTTGACATTAGTATTTTGTTACTTCCAACCGGATGGATGTCAAGATGATAAAACTCACAAATACGCCCTGGCAAACTTCCAAATCTCAGTATCACCTATATTCCACGCCTCGGTTGAAGCCTTTATTTCCAGCTGGGGTTTCATTTCTTCTTTCTCTTTACCACTAAGTTCATCTCCATTGAATCCGGCCCTCACAACTTCACGTGCACGCCCGGCAATCGCGAATTGTTCATCCCAATGACCCTGACTTTCGCCGGCAGGCTTCAAAGCTTTAGAGACATCAACATCTCTCTCATTTGCAAGCCTGCGGGGTATTATGAAGCCAAAGTGCCATTCGAGCTGCTGCAATGTCTCCTCTGGTAGATTATGATTTCCCACAACATTCGGGAACGATTCCAAAGTAAAAAACAGGTTGCGGTAGAAACTGTCATCTCCGGCGATGATATCCTTGAATGCAACCAACCGGGTTAAGTCGGTTACACCGCCATGTTCGACCAGATCTTTCGAGACTTTGGTGACCCAATTATCTCTCGTTGTGTTCCGGCGAAGGTAGGCTACGGAGAAGTCCAAATCGTGCTTCAATAGCCCAGTTAGAGCGTATGGATGCGGTACAGCTCCAAGCGTGTAGGCATTCTTGTCTGAAACGTAATGTTCCTTCTGCTCAATTGTCATACGCGACGAGGGACTGCACGGTGTGCAAGACCGCTGATTAGGCGGGCAGGACTTCGGAATTGGTGAGTCTGCGCATTCCGCGAGAAGATTCGCCAGACGCATGCTCTGTATACTCAAAATGGATGCATTTCTGGGGAAAGGCTGAATAACATTCAGGCCAGAACCGAACGTGTTCTGGAAAACGGTCTGAAGATGCGAATTGATCAGAAATTTGAGGGCTTGCTTTCCTTCAACTGGTTTTGCCAAAATCTTCTTTGCAACGCCTGGATATAACGGTTTGATGGTCTTCGCATCGTATAATGCGATTGCATTCGACTTGTAATTATTCAGAGTCCCATCAGGCAAGAGATCAATTATGCTTTTTGCATCCGTTAATTTGACGTTGTCAATCGCTGCCTTGATGACCTGATTGACATGTGACCGTTCTCCAGCGAGTAATGCCGGCGTAGATCCCTTCTGCCACATAATTATTCGAGATTTCTCGACTTCCCCAGTAAACTTGCGCAAGTAACTCATGAACTTGTCATCGTAAGGCGCCATCGGATAAGCAAGCCAATCGACGAAAATGCCTGTGTCCATACTGCCCCACGCCATCCATCTTCGAAGATCTTCCGTGACGCCCGGATCTATCTTCAACTTTCGAGACTGGAACGACTCAAAGAGAGGATTGTTTCTCGCTTCCAAAGGACCGAGTACAACAGGTCGGAACCCCTTGGAAAACCATGCGCGACGCCACACAATCAACAGTTGTCGATCAGCTTCGGATTCAGCCTTGGTGGTTTTCTGCGCCGCAGGATCATAATACGTGTAAACATTAGGTCGCGTCCGCAGCGGGGGTAGCACAGCGCGGTTCTCGTCAAGCGTCACAGCGGAAGAGAAAGGATGTAACCATCTCCAGTCACTATGCCATCTTGAACCGCGGGAGGTACTATTCTTCTGTTCTGCGGGTTTGTGAACTGCTGGACCGAAGGGATTATAACCACCAAGATGGAAGGTCGTTATATCAGGTAGTTGATCAGCGTATGATGTTGATTTTATCCTGAGATTCTCAATTTGAGGGATATGGCTGGTATAAATGAGACCTAT